CACTTATCATATATAATATTATCATTGAAATTGCACTGTGACGGCAACGTCAGATGCAGGTGACGGCAACGTCAGATGCAGGTGACGGCTACATTAAAATTGGGTCTTATGTATACTGGATTTTACTTAAAACATTGTGATTCTCATTTCAAGTACGATCCAGTATCAGATTCAATTTTTTTCATTATCCTAATTAAAATACAACTGGCTGCATCAAAACATTGACTGAGGGATCCTCATTTTTTTCAATAACCGACGCGACCTGATACATAACATCATTTTTAGACCAAAATATAGGAAAAAATAGGAATTTTCTCTAGAAAATAGGAAAAAAATAGGTAGATCTCCAAAAAATAGGAAAAAATAGGAAAAAATAGGAACTTGACGCCCTGCTACATACAACTACTGGTGTAGGTCTATTATATTGTTTGCAAGGCCCTGTGCACTGCATGAGTTGTACTCACCCTTGAAAATAAAACACGCAGCGCCGTTTATCACATAGTTAATGCTGCCACCATGTTTGTCTGCTATGTCTACCAGTGCCTTAGAACACGCGTCCCTGTTAGACACATCGACTTGGTAATACGCGGCGTCTAACCCCTCCGCCTTAAGCTCTGACTCCAACTGTTTCCCCGCATCTTGGTCGATGTCGAAAAAGGCCACGGACGCACCGTCATTCAGGAAACGACTGACACACGCCCTGTTTATACCCGAGGCTCCCCCGGTGATTACTGCCACGCACGAGTTGAATCTTCCCTTGGTGTGATTTGCATCTAGTTTTGGTTGAGGTCGCGCCATGCTGTAACATATGGAATCCCGCATGCAGTGTTTTAACACTGGCCCTGATCCGAGACAGACGATCGAAAACATCGTGACTTAACGAGGAATCAAACGAGATTTGGAAGGGAGTGGAGAGAAAATAATGGCAGACTAGAATTTAAAATGCGCTGCCTCAACAAACAAAAGCTGACGGTATTAATTTATCTATGGAGATTTTACGGCTTGCGTTTTACCCTTAAGGGATAAAAAGTAAAATTTGAAACGCATGTTCCTTTTTACACAAGGGTACATGTAACTACCCGAACCGATAAAACCTAAGCACCTGATATTTCGCCTTTTCTTTTTTAATTGATTATATCTTGTCAATAGCTGAATGCAGATGTAATATTGTCTGATAAAGTATTTATTTTTGACATGCTTTAACCAAAAGTATCTCCACAATTCTACTGAACTTGTAAATACACTTCAGCTGGCGAAACTATACAATGTAAGGGTCTTTCGTGTTCATCACACATTTCTTTTTCTCGTACAAATGATATTTTTTCCCGAAATGTGTCCTTTGTCAATAAATATTTCCTTTTGCAAACAATTCAAACCAATCAATATTCCCCCCCTTGTTAAATGTCTTTATTCAATCATTCTACAGGGTAACTTTTCATAAGTTCAGTTTCTCTAAAGCCTTTTCTCTTATAGATTTTCGTTGAGTCTTTCCGGTGCCTGTTAAGGGAAATTCTTCGAACTGAAGATAATATTTGGGCGCCAGTGACAAGCCATCCGGCCCCACAGAAAACTTTTCGTTGCACCAACTCTCCAATTCCGCTACATCCCCGTTGCTCTCCATGATAACGCATGCGCAGAGCTCCTCTCGTAACCGGATATCCGGTACACCTACCACGATGACGTCTTTAACGGCTGGGTTTTGAGCGAGGACGGCCTCTACCTCGGCTGGGATGACCTTGACAGTAGCCCGTTTAATCATATCGTCCTTGCGGCCCGAGACAGAGAGTTGACCGTCGGTGGTCATGGCACCAATGTCACCGGTATGGAACCAGCCCGCCTCGTCAAACGCTGCCTGGGAAGCCGCCTCGTTGTCCACGTAAAGGCAGCGGTAAATCATGGGGTTACGGACGCAAATTTCACCTGCGGACCCAGGAGGTACATCGCGATTGGTGTCCGGCTCAACGACTTTCACTTCAACGCCGTCTATCACCTGCATTTTGTCACTTCTGGTGTCATACGTCACGTCCTGCATGGCGATCGGTCCGGCATCTGTGGATGCATACCCGACCGTGATCTGTTTGATGTTTGGGAAAAGGGACAGAAGCTTCTTAAGCTGATCTCTGTCCATCACCTGCCCGCCTGTTGCGATATGGCGAAGACTGGGTACCTGACAGAACGAAACGGCATCACTGTAGTTTAAAAGGTCCACGATGAAATAGTGCATCATAACGGTGTTGGTGACACTCTCTCTTTTCAAGATGGTGAAGACGAAGTCCACCTCTCCCTCCGCAACAACAAGACTGGAGCTGACAGTGAGAGCGGTTGTCCCAAATACAGCCATTTCCATAATCAGCCCGTGTCCACCTAACCAGGTCATCGGACGGTCGATAAATAAGACGCTGTCGGCGCTTGCGTAGGACACAACGTCCATTCGGGCCCAGTTGACGTAGGCATTGTGAGTCAACTGAATGCCTTTCGGCTTCCCAGTGGAACCAGACGTGAAGAAGACGCACATGGGATCGTCTGGGTCGACCTGATCCGCTGCTCCATCTATCGGGGTGCCATTTCCTTCTCCCTTGATTAGATTGTTCAGCGAAGCACCAGTCCCAAGAACATCGTCGCCGTAGGGTCCAAAAACGACGATGTCTCCCAGTGGGTTGGTCCCTTGAGGTACCCTGGAGGCGATTTCTCTGTATATTTCCCTCTCCTTATCATTTCCCACGTACAGCATTAAAGCGCGGCATTTATATTCCAGCACGTCATCGCAAAGCTTGTTCAAATTGCTCAACATGAACATGTTGCATCCTAGACGAGACAAAGCCAAAGTGAGCGGAAAAAACTCAATGCAGTTCGGCGAGCTAAATGCCACGCGGTCGCCACGTGAGTAACCACGGCGACGGAGTGACTCGGCCAATGAGATGGACTGTTTCTTAAGTTCAGAGAATGTCATACTCTCTCGCTGCTCTCGGGTCTGGTAAAAAATGGCGGCATTTTTGGTGGGATATAGTTGCGCTGTGGTGTCGAACGCCTCGTGCAGGGTGACGTACGCGTTTGACGTTACTTGAGGAATGTGGTAGTAGCTTCTCTTGTTAAGATGGGCCCGATTAATTTTATCCATGCTTGCGCTGAAAAAGAGTGCACTATTTAAAAAAACAAAAAGCAGTAACGGTAAATATCATAATAGAAAGAGAGAAAAAAAACTTTTCAAAATTTTTTTCTAGAGATTTATTTTTCACTAGATGTTCACAGTTCTGTCTTTAGTTAATTCCTGTCACATTTCTTCACTGTGTGTCGCTTTAGAAAAAAAAGTGCAATTAAATTAATCCGCGTCCTTGGTAGAAGGTAAAGAAATTTAAGAGGAAAAACAGGTCAGCTTTTTGCACCGTTTTATGTGAGGCGATTGTCGTGCATAAAAGAGAGTTTATTATTTTAAAATCCTCTTCCGTCGTGAGATTTCTATATCAACCCAAATTTTATGTTTGGAACAATCCATTCAACTCCCCAGAAGTGACACTCGATTGAACTCCATTTCGAAAGAGACAGAAAAGACGGACATAAACCCACTGATGCATCTGTCATGATCAGACTCTATATTTTGATTCTATCTGCGTCTTAAAGAATTCCTATAGGACATACAGTGTATGCTCATTAGTTCCCCATAGGTTTTTGTCCATTTTTGGGGGAATTTTACGTTAGGGGCAGGTGGGGGATAGATCGGTTTCAGTCTCATAGTCTGGATACATGTCTAATCAGACAATTCTTGTACCTGTATATGCCGTCAACAATCGTTTAGCGACCCTATCATTATACACTCCCTCTTTTGTATTTCCCGCCGCATTAATCGCAGTGTAATCTTCAAATGGTCCACGGGGTAAATATACACATTTTTAATACTAGTACGGTATATAGAATTTAAAGCATGTCTGCAAAGAATCCCGCCAGTTTTTATGATCACCCGGAATATAAAACAATGTTTTTAATCATCATCTGATTTGGACTATATGTTCTTATAACCTTCAGTACTTCGATGCCTGTCTGGAGCAACTTGAAATAGACGCTCTACAAAGACATGACGAAATATTGGAGGTTAACAACGTAAAACATGCATAATGCCTCTGTGATTCCGCCGTGACATTTTCACGTAGATCTACACTTACTTCAACTATCAGGTTGTGATCACTGTGCGATTTCTTCCCAAACGCTTCATCCGACGCTTGAGCAAAGGGAAGCGTGAAATATCGTTAATGAATGAATATAATGAATGATAGAATGGATATTACACCCCTTGACGCAAAGTCCGTGACGCCAGACGGAAGAACTTGTTCCCCTTCAACTGAGGGTCGAAAACCGGGGCAGTCGTCCTGGCAGAAAATGGGTCACGATATCAGTGTGAACTGGAGCTGTCAATGAGGTCAACGGGGCCTGTCGGGTTTATTGATCCATGAGCGGGACAAGTATGTCACTGCGTACGGTCATACCTCTGCTAGCTTATAGAGGAATAACTTGATTGATATAAACCATAGTGTACTAGTACATGGTATTATCAAGTTACATATATCAATTTAAGTTTCAGTTTCACCAATAAATAGATATATGCCGAGTCAACTGCTCACAACAGTAGGTTGATACCCCCTACTAGGGCCACAGATGTCTTTTCACAAGGTATTCACAGATATGTCTTTAGATTTGCTTAACGATCAGTCTACTATCTCTGATCTTGTGCTAAAATCTCTAGGTTGATTACATGGCTGGTAAATTGTTTGCGTAGCTGCTCAGGTACTGTCATTTAACAGACCCAAGCCTAGTTCCTTTGACAGCAACCAAGACAGTTATTTGATCTGATTTAAATAACTTGCTCTTTTGTGACAGATAAAAATAGCCCCTGCTGAATAGCTTGTTGCTACTTATTGAAGTAGACTGAAGAATCTCCTGTAACTGTTCCCCACAGAGCGGGTACAATGCCTTCAGTGCGTGTGAGGATTTAATCACTTCCATGTGGCCAAAAATCACAGGGTGGCTTTTGGCGTTTTTTCCTGTAATGTCTGCATGCCACCCTGGTAGAGGGTAGTAGGTTGATATAAACCGTAATATACATGTTATAATCAAGCTACATAAGGTACTGTAAGGTCTTCTTGTATATGGTATGCCATTACCTACAGTGAGAATTCTAGCTGTGATGATAGGTCCCACTTAAAGAGAAACGTACGTCTGTGTGCGCATATTATTGTATTCAATACAATTGCCACTGTGCAAGTCCGCTTTACAAAGGTAATAAGACCAACTATTGATCTTTACGTATAAGACCAGAATATTTACCCCATTTTGACCCAAGATAAAACTGTGGCAGTCCTCCAAGCCTAGTTCATCCTTAATAAGCAGTGACTCGTTTTCCGTAGGTAATAATAATATATACGATACAAAGTAAACACTTATCATGAAGAATAAAAAAGTTCTGCAATTTGTTATCATTCGTTATCATAAATATTTGACAGCATATTGCCCATATTTTTTATTCATATTAAAGGTGTATTGTGGAAAAACCTAACCAATGAGACATTATATACATATTTAACACTGGCTATTTCCCCTAAAATTCATCGGAAAATATCTGGCGAGAAATTTGGGTCTGCTCAGAGTACTGGTAAGCATCAATTGAAAAGCGTAACGTAGACTATGGCTAACTATTAGTTTTCTTGTGATTATTTGCATTTTGAAATTATCCGAAACCTACAAAAACAGACGCGATTGATTTTTTCTTTACAATATTCTAAATTTTTTGACATTAGAAAATTTTGAACGTTTTTATTGCAAGATGATGATACAATTACTCTCCAGCATGACTTAATATTATATAAGATAAAACATAGTTTGTTGGGGATTGCTGCTTGGACTGCTGAACGCCCCAACCCTATTCATCAACTGTTGCTATTATTCCGGAATGGCTGCGGTAAAATTAGGCCCTTCTTGGCCGTGTCGTTCAGGTCCCATCGCTGTGTAACCGCCATCTACCGAGAGATCAGCGCCAGTGATAAAGGAAGCGTCTCTGCTGCAGAGGAAGACGATGGCGGCGGCAATTTCTGAACATTCACCGTTTCGGTTCATCATGTGGGTGCTACCGTAAAACGCTCTCTGAATTTCGTCACTTCCAACGATAGCGTCAAGCTAAAGAAATTCAAATAGATAAGTGGATATTTACAAATATTGTATTTAAAAACCGTATAAACAGTGTTATATTGCGAGAATGAAAGAAAGGAAAATATAAGAAAAGTAAGAAATGAAAATAAGTTTTCAAAAAAGACGAGCGAAAAGTAGAAAACGATAACAGAAGATGAATACGCACGTGATAATCTAGAAAAGAAAATGATTCATTTATTTGTTTCCTTGACTTACCGGTACAACATTTAATTAATTAATATAGACAGGCAAAAAAATATTTTTTCTAATCTAATCTACCTACAGCAGGGGTATTAATTATTCCAGGAGAAACAGAGTTGACCCGTATTCCGTCTTTGATTAGGTCAAGCGCCATGCACTTGGTAAGCTGTAAGATCGCCCCTTTGCTACTGTTGTACGTCCAGTGCTGCTTCTGACTGCAATGGGCAGATACGCTGGCGATATTTACTACGGCGCGCGTTTCTGGTCCCTCTGGGTTTAAAATGAAGCGCCATTGTGTTAGAAAAATCATAATGCATTGATTGTGATCGTCAACGGATATTCACATGTTATGTGCATGAAATCATTCAATATGATTTGCAGTTGAAATACGCTAGGCGAGGCAATACATTGTGTTGGAGGAGACAAAGCAATCTATTCAGAAGAGAAATCACAATGACGTTGGTAAGCGCATCTTTGTGTTCCGCAAGAAACTATATAAGTAAGAGAAATAAGTGCGATGCATTTGATACGACACTTTTTTTGCACATTTCAAACATCTTATGTCATTTGAGGTATTAAAAATGGAGTCAACGTTAACGTAGCTCACATACCGTTCTTCATAAAAGGATAACATGCCTGTACCACATTTGAAGAGCCCGCCACGTTCACACCCATTATCGTCTCCCAGTCGGACATGGACGCGTCTAAAGCTGGGAAAAATGCCATGAAATATGAGCAAATGTATTATAATACATTGGGCATTTTTGTTTATTTCTTGCCTTGTAAAATCTCTGAAATGACCTGAAGTTGTATAAACAGCTGAAACAGTCTGGACGCATCTAAGGCTTCGTTCACATGCAATGTCTATTTTCTAAATTCTATTTTCTATTTGCGGTATGTCTTATGATCACGGTCTGTGGCCTGAATATCCCGCGGCGTAATTACTGGCAGCGCGAGCCAGTTACTATAATATTACTATAAGTAACTGGCTCGCGCTGCCAGTAATTACGCGGCGGGATATTCAGGGCACAGACCGTGATCATAAGATAGCGCAAATAGAAAATAGAAATTAGAAAATAGACATTGCATGTGAACGAAGCCTAAATCTGGGGGAAATGCCATGAAATACGACCACATAATATGTGATACGATGTATGGGGCTGTCTGTTTATTTCTTGCCTTGCAAAATAACTTAGGTGACCTGGAGTTGTGTTATCTGAAGTTTTATTAACAGTTGAAACAGTGGTTGCTCATATCTCAACCTCCCATTAAGCCCCTCCCCACCAGATCAAAAACTGACCGTGGAAATTAGTCACTAATATATATATAATGTAATTACCAATCTCAATAAGGTGTGCTTTCTTGTTAAGCAAACTGAGTACATGAAAATTAAAATCCAGTTATTACTGCTATATGTATATTAAAGCATAGATAACCTTTCTCCCCGGTGGAAATGATATAAATTACCTCTAAATAGAAAACTTGCAGCGCAGTTAACCACAGCGTGGATGCAGCCACCATGCTTCCCTGCTATGTCTTTTGCGGCCCCGAAACATGCGTCCCTGTCCGAGACGTCGATATGGTAAAATATGGCGTCATGTCCGGCCGCTTTCAGCTCCGCCTCAAGCAGTTGGCCCGCTTCTTGATTGGTGTCTAGAAAGGCCACGGACGCGCCGTCATTAATGAAGCGTTTGACGCACTCCTTACCGATACCAGAGGCTCCCCCGGTTACCACGGCAACGCGTCCTTTAAACCTGTCTTTTGTATGCGACTGGTCTAGTTTAGGCTGACGACGCTCCATTTTGTAATGCCAGTATCTATCTGCTACAGCACTATTATGTAGTCAAATATGTACAGGCCTCTATGTAGATAACAGCTCCAAATGAAATAACTTATTCAACTTTATCTTGGCACATGTGTCATCGCCTTGCGACTAATATAGGAGAAATGTATTGTTCTCCTTCGGTACTGCAAGAGACGTTTTTCTACTCCTTATGATGGAAAAATAAATAAATAAACAAATAAATTAATTAATTAATTTATTAATTAAAATATAAACAGATGAATATATAAATAAACAAGGTGCACTTAATAACTTATGAGAACAACTATTTTGCATACAAGTTCTCTAGAAAAATGACATTTATAATTAAAGAAAATAACATTCTAATTGGTAAACGATACAAACTTCTTTCACACGTTAATGATTAAGAAAGAGTTACAAATAAGAAAGTTGCCAGCACAGCAGTAGCTCATATGAGCCCAGTTGAAGTTAAGTTACAGTAAGGATGGAGATCGCGTCCATTTTATGTTAAACTGGAGAAATCATAAGGAACAACACATAATCAGTTAATTATTTTATTCATTATTAAGTTTTCTCCCTTATATCAACTAGTCAGGAATATTTCCACTGAAATCTGGCCCATCTTTCCCATGCCTTTCAGGGCCTATCACCGTGTAGCCGCCATCTACCGGGAGATCGGCGCCGGTGATGAAGGAAGCGTCTCTGCTGCAGAGGAAGGCAATGGCGGCGGCAACTTCTGAAGATTCCCCCTGGCGGTTCATCATGTGACAACCCGCCGACCACTCCCTCTGCGCCTCAGTGAAGTTCATTTGAGCTCTCTCCACCTAAATCAGGGTCAACCCAAGATAAAATGGAGTTATAAATAAATCTCACACTGGAGCTTGCGTCACTCTTACATTTGCTGTAGAATTAGGCCTACACTCAGCCGAGCTGGAGCTATCTTTCTACGTAGATCGATCTCCGCAGGGAATCTTACTGAATGCAATCAGTTTAATAGATTAACATGCCCCTTTTTGTTGCAAACGTACTCGTATAATCGCAAGCTTTTTATATTTTACTCAACGCCAGGAGGAGGCGTGTTAGTCTGTTGAACTGATTGCATTCAGCGAGAGTTCCCGCTGAGTTGGATCGATTTACGTAAAACGATTGTTGCATTGGAAATGAGCCCTTGCTTTTAGCCTTATCACAAAGCCTTCTTATGGTGAACGAAGGTAACGTGCTGCCACTGACACGCCGATAAGATGATCTTGCGTAATTCTACAGCAAATCCAAGAGTGAGTAATACGATAGCTGGAAATGGAAGATGAAAATGGCTGCAGAGAGAAAGAACACAAAAAAAAATAATAAATTCAAAATTTGTGAATATTTAGTGGGTCTAAAAAGAAGAATGTAGAACATAATTTACACATTAGAATCATTCTTGCAATCAATTCCATCAGTATTAAAATAATTAATTTATATTTTTCACGATGACATATGATGTGAAAAAGTATGTTTACATTACAAGCTGTTATTTTCATAGGCGGAAACAAAAATCTATATGAGCATACAAATATATATGTACTCAGTATAGGCCTACTACCTAGAGTACCCACCGAAGGTGTATTTATTACTGCCGGGGACACCGAGTTGACCCTTATCCCGTTTTTGGCCAGATCAAGAGCCATACACCTGGTCAGTTGCAAGACAGCTCCTTTACTGGCGTCGTATGTCCAGCGATTTCGTTTTGGTACGTGTCCCGTGATGCTGGCAATATTAACGACAGCGCGGCAGCCCGGCTCGGCTGATGAAAATGATGATAAATTAAAATATATTTGGAAATGGTATGACTTTATGTATACAACTGTGAGGACACAATAATTAGGGTCAATATCAAGGCGTTTTTTTTTTTTTTATATAGATTAAGTCTTTATCTTGACAGTAAATTTTTGGTAAACGAATTTCACGTGAGAGGGGCATATAAGGCGAAGGTATGCAGTTTATTGTGCTAGTTGAGACTGCTAGACTGTTGCGCTAGTTGAAACACACTACATAAGTCCAGACAGTGTGTCCCAAGCTCTCTATGTACCTTTCTTCATGTAGGGGTGACATGCCTGTACCATGTTTGCATATCCAACCACGTTCACGTTCAGCGTCTTCTCCCAGTCTGACGTGGATGCGTCCATACCTGGAAAAATGTTATCTAAATATCTAAATCACAGTCACTGTTTTCAGTGCAGGCGAACGTGCAGGAAGTTTGTGCAACTTTTTTTTTTACATTTGCTACCCTAGGTTCTAGATTTCAGTATTGTCAGCTCGATCTTGATTTCATATATATCCCATATCAGCAATACTGTAAAGCTACCACGTGAAAAGTTATAGCGAGCAAGCTAGCTTTATATAGTGCCCTGACACTTAGGGCACATTTGGGTTGACCTACATACAACTACTGTTGTAGGTCTATTATATTGTTTGCAAGGCCCTATGCACCGTAAGAGTTGTGTTGCACGAGATTACTCACCCTTGAAGATAAAACACGCAGCGCCGTTTATCACATAGTTAATGCTGCCACCATGTTTGTCTGCTATGTCTACCGCGGCCTTGGAACACGCGTCCCTGTTAGACACATCGACTTGGTAATATGCGGCGTCTAACCCCTCCCCCTTAAGCTCAGACTCCAACTGTTTCCCCGAATCTTGGTCGATGTCGAGGAAGGCAACGGACGCACCGTCATTGAGGAAACGACTGACACACGCCCTGTTTATACCCGAGGCTCCCCCGGTGACTACTGCCACGCATGAGTTGAACCTTCCCTTGGTGTGATTTGCATCTAGTTTTGGTTGAGGTCGCGCCATGCTGTAACACATGGAAGCCCGCATGCAGTGCTTTAACATAGGCCCTGATCCGAGACAGACGATCGAAAACATCGTGACTTAACGAGGAATCAAACGATACTTTGCGAGATTTGGAAGGGAGTGGAGAGAAAATAATGGCAGACTAGAATTTAAAATGCGTTGCACTANTCCACTTATTGTGTTATCGGTGCTGCATATATGCTGAAAAAAGGGAAAAAACAGCATAAATTCCCTAAATGTGACCCGATCATGCTGATTTTCGAACTTGACCGGCGTATAATGAATATTCATCAGTTCTGTAAGTTTCTAGCCAAAAGGTAAAATGGTTTTCCACTTATCGTGTTATCGGTGCTGCATATATGCTGAAAAAAGTTTAAAAAAACAGTTTAAATTCCCTAAAAGTGACCCGATCATGCTGATTTTCGAACTTGACCGGCGTATAATGAATATTCATCAGTTCTGTAAGTTTCAAGCCAAAACGTAAAACAGTTTTTCACTTATCGTGTTATCGGTAAAAGTGCACGGCGACGACGACGGCGACGACAGACGCAGATGACGGCTATATGTACAGACACATCTGTGTCTGTACATAAAAATCAATCCTGCCTCGCGCGTAACCATATCGACTTCCACGAGATGCACAAAGAATGAACTGCGGGATGCAGCAGCTACTAATTCTTTTCTCTGCAGAAAAAAACGCGTTCATTCACCACTGGCCCTGATGTCCCAGTAGATGGCTCTTACTAGTCAACAGTAATAGCTGTAATAAGGCACGGTCGAGCAGATGGAAAAGACGGACCAGATCTAAGAAAATAAAGGAAATATTTCGGACTCTAAGTTTCTGCGAAACAATAATACCTAAACACCTAATATTTTGCCATTTCTTTTTTTAAATTGATTATATATCTTGCCAATATCTGAATGCAGATGAAATACTGGCTGGTAAAAATATTTATTTTTTTACATGCTGTAGCATTTCATGCTTTAGTATCTCTATAATTCTACTGAATTTGCAAATACACTATAGCGAAACTATCCAATATAATTAAAGACCGTTTGTCTTCATCACACATTTCTTTTTCTCGTACAGAACCTATGTTTTTTTTTCCTGAAATGTGTCCTTTGTCATTAACTATTTCTTTTTGCAAACAATTATAACTCATCAAAATTTCCCCCCTAATTAGATGCTTTTAGTCAATTATTCTACATGTACAGAGTAACTTCTCATAATTTCAGTTTCTCTAAAGCTTTTTCTCTTATAGACTTTCGTTGCGTCTTTCCGGTGCCTGTTAAAGGGAATTCTTCGAACTGAAGATAATACTTCGGCGCCAGTGACAAGCCATCCGGCCCCACAGAAAACTTTTTCTTGCACCAACTCTCCAGTCCCTCTACATTCCCGCTGCTCTCCATGATAACGCATGCGCAGAGCTCCTCTCGTAACCGGATATCTGGTACACCTACCACGATGACGTCTTTAACGGCTGGGTTTTGAGCGATGACGGCCTCTACCTCGGCTGGGAAGACCTTGACAGTCGCCCGCTTAATCATATCGTCCTTGCGGCCCGAGACAGAGAGTTGACCGTCGGTGGTCATGGCACCAATGTCACCGGTATGGAACCAGCCCGCCTCGTCAAACGCTGCCTGGGAAGCCGCCTCGTTGTCCACGTAAAGGCAGCGGTAAATCATGGGGTTACGGACGCAAATTTCACCCGCGGACCCAGGAGGTACATCGCGATTGGTGTCCGGCTCAACGACTTTCACTTCAACGCCATCTATCACCTGCATTTTGTCACTTCTGGTGTCATACGTCACGTCCTGCAGGGCGATCGGTCCGGCATCGGTGGATCCATACCCGACTGTGATCTGTTTGATGTTAGGGAAGAGGGTCAGGAGCTTCTTAAGCTGATCTCTGTCCATCACCTGCCCGCCCGTTACGATATAGCGAAGACTGGGTACCTGACAGAACGAAACGGCATCACTGTAGTTTAAAAGGTCCACAATGAAATAGTGCATCATAACGGTGTTGGTGACACTCTCTCTTTTCAAGATGGTGAAGACGAAGTCCACCTCTCCTTCCGCGACAACGAGACTGGAGCTGACAGTGAGAGCGGTTGTCCCGCAGACGGCCATTTCCATAATCAGTCCGTGTCCACCTAACCAGGTCATCGGGCGGTCGTTAAATAAGACGCTGTCGGCGCCTGCAAAAGACGCCACGTCCATTCGGGCCCAGTTGATGTAGGCATTGTGGGTCAACTGAATGCCTTTCGGCTTCCCAGTGGAACCAGACGTGAAGAAGACGCACATAGGGTCGTCTGGGTCGACTTGTTCCGCTGCTCCATCTATCGGGGTGCCATTTTCTTCTCCCTTGATTAGATTGTTCAGCGAAGCACCAGTCCCAAGAACATCGTCGCCGTAAGGTCCAAAAACGACGATGTCGCTCAATGGGTTGGTCCCTTGAGGTACCCTGGAGGCGATTTCTCTGTATATTTCCCTCTCCTTATCATTTCCCACGTACAACATTAAAGCGCGGCATTTGTATTCCAGCACGTCATCGCAAAGGTTGTTCAAATTGCTCAACATGAACATGTTGCATCCTAGACGAGACAAAGCCAAAGTGAGCGGGAAAAACTCAATGCAGTTCGGCGAGCTAAATGCCACGCGGTCGCCACGTGAGTAACCACGGCGACGGAGTGACTCGGCCAATGAGATGGACTGTTTCTTTAGTTCAGAAAATGTCATACTCTCTCGCTGCTCTCGGGTCTGGTAAAAAACGGCGGCATTTTTGGTGGGATATAGTTGTGCTGTGATGTCGAACGCCTCGTGCAAGGTGACGTAAGCGTATGACGTAATTTGAGGAATGTGGTAGTAGCTTCTCTTGTTAAGATGGGCCTGATTAATCCTCTCCATGCTTGTTCTGTCGGGTGTGCTGAAAAAGAGTACACTACCTTAATAAAGCAAAAAGCATCAACGGTAAATATCATAACAGAGAAAGAAAAAAAACACACACTTTTTTATATATTTTCTTGAGATTTATTTTTCACTTGATATTCACAGTCCTTTCTAAAGTTAATTCCTGGCACATTTCTTTACTATGTGTCGCGTTAGAGAAAAGTGCATATAATTACTCCTCGGCCCTGGTGGAGGGTAAATAAAGTTTATAGGGATTAAACAGGTCAGAATTTTGCACCGTTTTATGTGAGGCGATTGCCGTGCATAAAAGAGAGCTAATTATCTTAAAGTCCTCTTCCGTCACGAGATTTCTACATCAACCAAAATGTTATGTTTGGAACAATCCATTCAACTCCCCAGAAGTGACACTCGATTTAACTCCATTTCGAAAAAGACAGAAAAGACGGACATCTGTCTGACTCTATATATTGATTTTTAACTGGCGTCCTATAGAATTCCTATAGGGCATATGTTCAATAGTTCCCCATAGGATTTTGTCTATTATAACACGGTAGTGTTACAAATTTAAGTAAGAACTTAATTTAAATTTTAAAAACATTTAAAATTCATTAGTTACAATAAGATTGCAAAAACAACATAAGTCTCATTAGACGTTCAAGCACTGACCAAACATAATAACCTTCGATCTCAGTCCAGCGAATGAGTGCCGTAATTAATGACCTCTAGTGGTCGGCAAACGCGTCAATTAAATTGCAAGCAGAGGACAGAGCAACAGCAGATAGATATAGAAAGATTTAATTGATTATCTCTTGGTGTCATGTATTAGTATTTAATAAGCACTTCGCTAGTTCAGGAAAATGACCAGTTCCGGTTCGGTCAAAATTAAATATTAAGAATCAAAGAACCGGGCAAATCACACTATTTAAATCGAAGGTCTAGAATCAGTATTTCCAATAATTAAGTAAATGTTGAATCAAAAATGTCCATCCTTGACGTGAGATGTGAACCACCTGTCGCCCTTATTTTGTTAAAAAAATGCAGCATTCTGCCGCATTCGGTGTGTTCGGCGAGTCGGGAAAATAACAGCGTACCCAAGCCGTTGGAAGGAGACATTGAGGGAGAGACATTGTGGTCACATCTTTAACTTGATGTAGTCCGTGTGCGCACAATAAAATTTCTTTTAGAGGGAAAAGAGAGTTGTTCATAACTCTACAGTGACGCGCTTTTAGCACACGTAGAAGCCCCCGTCACACTATTTTAGGAAGTTAACGTTAGGGACAGGTGGGGGGATATATTGTTTTCTGTTTCATACTCTAGGTCAAAAGCACTAGTGAAGCAATATTAAACAAGCAGGGGACTACGATACAGGTGTTCACAGTAGTAAGGTACATGTAGGTCATGATAACAGGAGTGTGTGCTTGTAACTGTTCCAGGTGGCATTCAGCAATTTGCGATACTGAGCTTCACATGTATTAAATATACACTATTAACAACATGTCTGCGAAGAATCCCGCCAGCTTTTATGATCACCCGGAATATAAAACAATGCATTTTAATCATCAGCTAATGTGGACTATATGTTCTTCACCTTAAATACTGCGATGACTGTCGCTCGACAAAGAAATGCCGAAATATTAGAGATTTACAACATAAAACATGCATATAATGCCTCTGTGACACCGTCTGTGACAATGTCACCTAGATCTACACTTACTTCAACTATCAGGTTGTGATCACTGTGCGATTTCTCTCCACACGCTTCAGCCGACGCTTGTGCAAAGGGAAGCGTGACATATGTTTAAATGGATGAATGACACACCCCTTGGCGCAAAGTCCGTGACGCTAGACAGAAGAACTTGTCCCGCTTTACCCGAGGGCTAAAAACCAGGGCAGTTAGAAAATGGGTCCCGATATCAGTGTTTACTTGAGCCGTCAAGGAGGTCAACATGGCCTGTCGGGATTATTGATTCATGAGCAAGTTTGTCACTGAGTACGGTCATACCTCAGCTAGCGTATATAGAAAAAACTTGATTGATATAAAACACTGTGTACTACTGCATGGTATTATCGATCATTATCAAGTATGTGATCATAAAATTTCAATTTCACAAATAAATAGATAAATAAATGCATGATACAGTTTTATATAAAGAGTAAATATAAATATTGAAGCATAAGAATAATCCCACAATTAATGTTCAATGAATTGATATAAACCGTAGTTAACATGTTATTATCAAGTTACATAAGGTACTGCAAGGTCTACGTGTATGCTATAGACTGGTACCTACAGCAAGACGTCTAGCTGTGATGATTGGACCTACTTTAAAAGAAACATACACTGTACGTCTGCGTGGACTTATATTATCGTTTCTTTATCGTTTTCAATACAAGTTGTCTAGGACACGATACTGTCACTGTGCAAGTCGGATTTACAAATGAAATAAAGCCAAATATTGATCTTTACTTATAAGACCAGAAAATTTACCCCATTTTGACCCAAGATAAAACTGTCGCAGTCCTCCAAGCCCAGTTAACCTAAAGGAGGCAGTGACTCGTTTTCCATAGGTAGTGTCAAAATTAAGTGGATTACATTCATTCTTAACCAACCATAACTCAAATAATATAATATACGATATAAAGTAAAAACTTGTCATGAAGAATGAAAAATTCTGCAATTGGTTATTATAAATATTTGACAGCAATAAACCGGAGTACAACATATTGTTCGTATTTTTTCTCATATAAAAGGTGAATTGCGGAAAAACGTAACCAGTGACACATTAAATACATATTTAACAGTGGCTATCTTCTCTCAAGTTCCTCGGAAAATATCTGGCGAGAAATTTCGGTTTGCGCAAATACTGGTAAGCATCAATTGAAAAGCGTAACGTTGACTATGGCTAACTACCAGTTTTCTTGTGATTATTTGCATTTTGAAATTATCCGAAACCTACAAAGACAGACGCAATTGAATTTTTTTCTTTACAATACTCTAAATTTTTTTACTTCAGAAAATTTTGAACGTATTTATTGCAAGATGATGATACAATTACTCTCCAGCATACTTAATATTATATAAGGTATAACATAGTTTGCTCAACGCCCCAACCGTGTTCATCTGCTGTTGCTCTTATTCCGGAACGGCTGCGGTAAAATTAGGGCCGTCTTGGCCGTGTCGTTCAGGTCCCATCGCTGTGTAACCGCCATCTACCGAGAGATCAGCGCCAGTGATAAAGGAAGCGTCTCTGCTGCAGAGGAAGACAACGGCGGCAGCAATTTCTGAGCTTTCACCGATGCGATTCATCATGTGCGTGCTGTCGAGCCACGCTCTTTGGGTTTCGTCATTTCCAACGACAGCGTACAACTACAAGAAAAAGCAGTGAGATGAGAAAAAAAAAAAGAAAAGAAAGAAGGGGGAAAAGAAAAGAAGAAAAGTATATTAAGGCTTTGAAAAAACAAACGACAAAGTTGAAATATATTAACATAACATAAATAAGCACGGCAAGAAGAAACTTACGCTAATAAAATCATATAATCCACAAGATGATGTCTTCATGAACTGACTGCAAAAAATTCCATATGTTTTTGATGTAAACAAATGATAACGTAGAAAATATAACTCATACTTTACTTATTTCATGAATAAATTAAATTCAATTACTTTACATAAATATATAAATTGAACAATATTTGTCACTCAAATCTACCTACTGCAGGGGTATATATATTTCCAGGAGAAACAGAGTTGACCCGTATTCCGTCTTTAATTAGGTCAAGCGCCATGCATTTCGTCAGTTGCAAGATCGCCCCTTTGCTACTGTTGTACGTCCATCGATGTTTCTGACTGCAATGGGCAGATATGCTGGCGATATTTACTATGGCGCGCGTTTCCCGTCCGTCTGTTGGAAAACGTAAATACATTATGTTAGAGAAGACAATGGATGCTTTGATTGGGATCATCGTTGTGATGCATGGACGTGTTTATATTCTAGTACGTTCAAGATAATCTGTAGTTGCAATACATTGTGTTGGAGGAGACGAAGCTATCTATTCAGAAGAGAAATAACAGTGACGTTGCTAATGACTTTTACGCTTTGTTACATATTAAGCTGTAAATTATAAATGTTTCATAAGGAATTATATAAGTAATAGGAATAAGTTCAACGCATTTGATACGACACCAATTGTTGGCACATTTAAAGCTCTTAATTGAGGCATTAAGAGCGGAGTCCACGTGACTCACTTACCGTTCTTCAAAAAAGGATAACATGCCTGTACCACATTTGAAGAGCCCGCCACGTTCACACCCATTATCTTTCCCCAGTCGGACATGGACGCATCTAAACCTGGGAAAAATGCCATGACATATGACCAAATATATTATAATACAACGGAGCGTTTTGTTCTTGCCTTGTAAAATCTCTGAAATGATCTGAAGTTGTATAAACAGCTGAAACAGTGCTTGCTCACATCCCCCCTCTACAGATCGAAAACTGACCGTGGAAATTAGCCATCGATAATGTATTTTTCAAGGTCAATAAGGCGTGCTTTCTTGTGAAAAGAGAAAGGACACAAGTCCATTAGTACACACACTGAACAATAGAAGTGTAACCCCCTAAATTACAGTAGGCCCCTAAATCAAAGTAGGCAGATCTTGGGTAGTTATAATGCCTGGTCTACTTATAATGTGACTAATGAGTATGAAACCGCTATACCATGGAATTGTATTGTTGGTCTTGTACATGTACAGCAAATGTTCTTCCTGTCTATCTCCAATATGGCAAGATACAGGCAATTATCGTTTATTATGGATGTCAAGGTATTAACCTGAAGAGGTGGAATATAAGCAATGTCAGAATATCTATACAGTTTAATTGTTCAGTCAGAATCGTGCAGAGGGTCTGGTGTCGGTATAGAAACACTGGATGAAGAGACAAAATGCCTCTGATGGGTCGTCCAAGAAAAACTACTGACCTTGAAGACCGACGACTGATATTGATGTCCACGTTGTCAAGGTTCGACACTGCTTGTCAGTTGACAACACAGTGGAACAATTTCACACATAAGAATGTGTCTTTAAAAACTGCTAGGCGTCGGTTACATGCTCAGAGAGTGTACAGCAGGGTAGCAAGACTGAAACCTCTTAAATCGTTACAAAACAGGCAACGTAGAGTGAACTAGGGCCAACAGAATCTGGAACTGGTTAGTCCATGACAATTGGTCCTATAAAACTTTTTTGATGAGTGTTGCTTTGGTCTGAACTCTGATGACAGACGGGTCCGATACTGGCGAACTGCTGGTAAAGCCTTTGAACCACATTTACTGAATTTTCGAACTCGATGTGGCCTGCCCAGAGTCCGGATGAAAACATAGTAGAAAATGTGTGGAATGATATGTCAAAACTTTTGACAAATGCCCGTCGAACCAGCAGACAAACTCTGTTAGATTCAGTGTTTCATGTTTGGGCCAACATAAGCCCAAAGCACATGCTCAGGCAATTATATGAATCCCTGCCTCGTAGACTGGCAGCTATTATAAGGTCACGTGGCTATCTCACTAAGTACTAATTTTGGACTTGAAACTGCATATCTTGGTAAAACGTATATTTTGTTTTCATTCTTTTTGTGAAATTTGATGTAAATAAAATGATACCAGGAGCATATCATTCCACAGTCATTTATCTCCCCCAAAGTATTGATTCAGTAGAGGTGACATTTCTATTGCCCTTTGTGTGTACCTGCTATATGTATATAAGAGCATAGACATAACCTTTCTCCCCAGTGGAAATGACACTAATTACCTTTAAACAGGAAACTTGCAGCGCAGTTTACCACAGCGTGGATGCAGCCGCCATGCTTGCCTGCTATGTCTTTTGCGGCCCCGAAACATGCGTCCCTGTCCGAGACGTCAACATGGTAAAATATGGCGTCAAATCCGGCCGCTTTCAGCTCCGCCTCTAGCAGTTTGCCCGCTTCTTGATTTGTGTCTAGAAAGGCCACGGACGCGCCGTCATTAAGGAAGCGTTTGACGCACTCCTTACCGATACCTGAGGCTCCCCCGGTTACCACGGCAACACGTCCTTTAAACCTGTCTTTTGTATGCGACTGGTCTAGTATAGGCTGACGACGCTCCATTTTGTAATGCCAGTATCTATCTGCTACAGCACTATTATGTATGTCAAATATGCACAGGTCTCTATATAGATACCAGCTCCAATACTTATTTACGTTATTTTTGTACATATATAGGCCCCTATGTCATAGCGTTATTTCATACGGGAGATTTATATGGTTCTGTTCCGGTTCAACAAGAGACATTCTTCTCCTAATAATGATGGAAGATAAATAAATAAATGATAAGCGTTTGACGGAGATTGTGTCTATTTGATGGAGATTGTGTCTATTTTTATGTTCAACCAGGGAAGTCTAGTGGAACAACACATAATCATCAGTTAATTTTTTTTATTCATTCTTTAAATTTCTTCCATATATCAACTAGTCAGGAATAATTCCAGTGAAATCTGGCCGATCTTTTCCATGCCTTGCACGGCCTATGTAGCCGCCATCTACCGGGAGATCAGCGCCGGTGATAAAGGAAGCGTCTCTGCTGCAGAGGAAGGCAATGGCGGCAGCAACTTCTGAAGATTCCCCCTGACGTTTCAACATGTGACAGCCTGCCGCCCACTCCCTCTGAGCCTCAGTGAAGTTCATTTGGGCTCTCTCCACCTAAATCACAGTCAACCGAAGATAAAATGGAGTTATAAATTATAAATCCCATGCTAGAGCTTGCGTCACTCTTGCGTTTGTCGTAGAAATAGGCTCATTCCCAGTGGAACTATCGTTCTTTGGAGATCGATCCATCTCCGCAGCGAATCTCGCTGAATGCAAGAAGAGAAGAATAGGAATGGAAATGAGTAGCTTTACTTTGAAGCGGAAAAATGATGTTAAATTTTTACTGGCAAGGCCAAAAATATTTTCCTTTTACATTTAAGGGATAACAACTGTTTGTAAAATATCCATATTTCACTATAAATACGTGTCAAACAACTGATGGAAATATAATAAATCCTATTTTACCAACAAAACGACGGTTAACGCGTTTATTCTGGAGTTTGAGCTTGCCACCACATCACGTGACCTCCAAAGATGGTAACACTCTGCAATAATCTCTTAAGAGTATAATAAAAAAAACCCAAACTTTTTACAAAAAAAAAAAAATAAAAAAAAAAAATAAAAAAACAGGGACTAACTTTGGATGCGTGAATAGATTCATTAACCATTGGGAATTATTGGAAAATTGTCCTTTACTCCAGGAAAATTCATTTTTTTGTCAAAAATGAACAGATGTTATCCCTTTAAGAATACTTGTTTGTCCTCTTGTGGAGAAAAATACTCGGCCTAATAAAATGTTAAAATGTTTAGTTTCGAATAAAAAAAGCTGTTCAATTTTTACCTGAGAGAAAAAAAAGAGAAAAGTACACACACTGGACAAGAGAAGTGTCACCCCCTAACTCAGAGTAATAAAAGTAGGCAGATCTTGGGTACTTATAATGCCTGGTCTACTTATAATGTGACTAATGAGTATAAAACCGCTATACCATGGAATTGTATTGTTGGTCTTGTACATGTACATCAAATGTTATTCCTGTCTTCCTCCAATATGGCAAGATACAGGCAATTATCTAACAGTAATANTCCATGGCTTGGGCGAATTTATAGTGGTTAATGGAAACATGAATCACTAGAAATATATCGATGTTTTGGAGTCAGGCTTGCTACCATCTATTACTAACATGTTTGGTGACAGGAATTATCCATTTGTTCACCAGGATGACAATGCTCCTTGTCACAGGCCCAGAGCAGTTGATGATTGGTTTGACCAACTGGACATTCGCAGGGTGATGTGGCCTGCCCAGAGTCCGGATGTTAACATAATAGAAAATGTGTGGAATGATATGTCAAAACTTTTTACAAATGTCCGTCTAACCAGCAGAGAAACTCTGATATATTCAGTGTTTCATGCTTGGGCCAGCATAAGCCCTGAACGCATCAGACAATTATATGAATCCTTGCTTCGTAGACTGGCACCTATTATTAGGTCACGTGGCTATGCCACTAAGTACTAATTTTGGACCTGAAACTGCATATTATGGTAGAATGTATATTTTGTTCTCATTTTATGATTTTTTGTGAAATTTGATGTTAATAAAATGATACCAGGAGCATATCATTCCACAGTCATTTATCTCCCCCATAGTATTGTCTCATTAGGGGTGACACTTCTTTTGTCCAGTGTGTGTATTTCAATGTTTAGCTTTGAATAGGAAAGATGTTGTGAAGTTATGGTTGTGGTTGCTGAGGCCCGCTCTAAGCAGGTTGTTTAAGTACACTGTCCGCCTGCATTTGCTTGTGTAAACCAAGGCATGCAACCGTTTAGGAATAAAGGGTTTGGGGCTTCAGAGAAATCAAAAAGTATTCCATACGACGTTTAAGTACAAACAGGCCACTGCAGCAGTTGATTCACGAGCAAAAAATACAGCTTTATTATAATACTAGCCGTCCCCCTTATTTGATGATTTTACATCAAATAATCATTCTACAAACAGAGTAACTTTTCATAATTTCAGTTTTTCCATGGCTTTTTGTCTAATAGTCTTTCGTTGCGTCTTTCCTGTGCCTGTTAAAGGGAATTCTTCGAACTGGAGATAATACTTCGGCGCCAGTGACAAGCCATCCGGCCCCACAGAAAACTTTTCCTTGCACCACCTCTCCAATTCCGCTACATCCCCGCTGCTCTCCATGATAACGCATGCGCAGAGCTCCTCTCGTAACCGGATATCCGGCACGCCTACCACGATGACGTCTTTAACGGCTGGGTGTTGAGCGAAGACGGCCTCTACTTCAGCTGGGAAGACCTTGATAGTTGCCCGTTTAATCATATCGTCCTTGCGGCCCGAGACAGAGAGTTGACCGTCGGTTGTCATGGTGCCGATGTCACCGGTATGGAACCAGCCCGCCTCGTCAAACGCTGCCTGGGAAGCCGCCTGGTTGTCCACGTAAAGGCAGTGGTATATTAAGGGATTACGGACGCATATTTCTCCCGCGGACCCAGGAGGTACATCGCGATTGGTGTCCGGCTCAACGATTTTCACTTCAACGCCGTATGTCACCTGCATTTTGTCACTGTTGGTGTCGTGCGTCACGTCCTGCAGGGCGATGGGTCCGGCATCGGTGGATCCATACCCGATCGTGATGTGTTTGATGTTTGGGAAAAGGGCCAGGAGCCTTTTTAGCTGATCTCTGTCCATCATCTGCCCGCCTGTTAAGATATAGCGCAGACTGGGTACCTGACAGAACGAAACGGCATCACTGTAGTTTAAAAGGTCCACGATGAAGTAGTGCATCATAGCGGTGTGGGTGACACTCTCTCTGTTCAAGATGGTTAAAACGAAGTCAACCTCTCCCTCCGCCACAACCATACTGGAGTTGACAGTGAGAGCGGTTGTCCCATAGAGGGCCATTCCCAGAATCAGTTGATGTCCACCTATCCAGGTCATCGGGCGGTCGTTAAAAAAGACGCTGTCGGCGCTTGCATAGGACGCCTCCTCCATTCGGGCCCAGTTGATGTAGGCATTGTGGGTTAACTGAATGCCTTTTGGCTTCCCAGTAGAACCAGACGTGAAGAAGACGCACATGGGGTCGTCTGGGTCGGCTTGACCCGCTGCTCCATCNCTGTCGGGTAGGTTACAACGTTTGCAACGACGTTAACCGTTATTCCACCAGTGCTATTACACTTTCACACCGATATCGACAGATCTGTATTGCCGCGCATGCCGAAGCTTTGCGGAAATTGCCGAAGGTTAGGAAAATTCTTCAAAATTTTTAATTTTATTACTTTTAATCAACTCTCTCACTGCCCTGAGGTATAATGGCTAAAACCTTTCAGTTGTCACCAGACTTTGTAATTTGGGAGAAAAAAGTGAAACAGGAACTTCTGGTGATGAATAATAGATTATAGTGCTGCAAGGTCTTGTTTTCTATCCCTGATGTACGAGTAGCTTTTTTACAGTTTCTATAATTCTCTTAACGTATGAAAATATGCAGGTTTTCTGATACAATAAGACTTTGATAAAATCAAAACCAATTTTACTTTTCAAGTCGGGAGTCGGGATAAATATCGGCAAGGTGGAGATATTTCTCGCCGGCGCTTCCGCAACAGCAAGACTGAAGGACGCAAGTTACAAAGCGAAACATGTTTAGTCAAGTTAAAGACTTAATTACCGGCCTAACAGCGGCGATAGTGACTCCCGCTGTGAGCGACTTGCGCTGTCTATCGTAATCCCCCTATCATTAACACTGTCGGGGGCACACGCACGTTCGCCATGCGTGTGCTATTAAAGTGACCGGGGACTAAATAGCTACACGGTAGATACCAGCTCCAATACTTATTTACGTTATTTTTGTACATATATAGGCCCCTATGTCATAGCGTTATTTCATACGGGAGATTTATATGGTTCTGTTCCGGTTCAACAAGAGACATTCTTCTCCTAATAATGATGGAAGATAAATAAATAAATGATAAGCGTTTGACGGAGATTGTGTCTATTTGATGGAGATTGTGTCTATTTTTATGTTCAACCAGGGAAGTCTAGTGGAACAACACATAATCATCAGTTAATTTTTTTTATTCATTCTTTAAATTTCTTCCATATATCAACTAGTCAGGAATAATTCCAGTGAAATCTGGCCGATCTTTTCCATGCCTTGCAGGGCCTATGTAGCCGCCATCTACCGGGAGATCAGCGCCGGTGATAAAGGAAGCGTCTCTGCTGCAGAGGAAGGCAATGGCGGCAGCAACTTCTGAAGATTCCCCCTGACGGTTCAACATGTGACAGCCTGCCGCCCACTCCCTCTGAGCCTCAGTGAAGTTCGTTTGGGCTCTCTCCACCTAAATCACAGTCAACCGAAGATAAAATGGAGTTATAAATTATAAATCCCATGCTAGAGCTTGCGTCACTCTTGCGTTTGTCGTAGAAATAGGCTCATTCCCAGTGGAACTATCGTTCTTTGGAGATCGATCCATCTCCGCAGCGAATCTCGCTGAATGCAAGAAGAGAAGAATAGGAATGGAAATGAGTAGCTTTACTTTGAAGCGGAAAAATGATGTTAAATTTTTACTGGCAAGGCCAAAAATATTTTCCTTTTACATTAAAGGGATAACAACTGTTTGTAAAATATCCATATTTCACTATAAATACGTGTCAAACAACTGATGGAAATATAATAAATCCTATTTTACCAACAAAACGACGGTTAACGCGTTTATTCTGGAGTTTGAGCTTGCCACCACATCACGTGACCTCCAAAGATGGTAACACTCTGCAATAATCTCTTAAGAGAATAATACAAAAAAACCAAACTTTTTACAAAAAAAAAAAAAAAAAAAAAAAAACAGGGACTAACTTTGGATGCGTGAATAGATTCATTAACCATTGGGAATTATTGGAAAATTGTCCTTTACTCCAGGAAAATTCATTTTTTTTGTCAAAAATGAACAGATGTTATCCCTTTAAGAATACTTGTTTGTCCTCTTGTGGAGAAAAATACTCGGCCTAATAAAATGTTAAAATGTTTAGTTTCAAATCAAAAAAGCTGTTCAATTTTTACCTGAGAGAAAAAAAAGAGAAAAGTATTTCAATGTTTAGCTTTGAATAGGAAAGATGTTGTGAAGTTATGGTTGTGGTTGCTGAGGCCCGCTCTAAGCAGGTTGTTTAAGTACACTGTCCGCCTGCATTTGCTTGTGTAAACCAAGGCATGCAACCGTTTAGGAATAAAGGGTTTGGGGCTTCAGGGAAATCAAAAAGTATTCCATACGACGTTTAAGTACAAACAGGCCACTGCAGCAGTTGATTCACGAGCAAAAAATACAGCTTTATTATAATACTAGCCGTCCCCCTTATTTGATGATTTTACATCAAATAATCATTCTACAAACAGAGTAACTTTTCATAATTTCAGTTTTTCCATGGCTTTTTGTCTAATAGTCTTTCGTTGCGTCTTTCCTGTGCCTGTTAAAGGGAATTCTTCGAACTGGAGATAATACTTCGGCGCCAATGACAAGCCATCCGGCCCCACAGAAAACTTTTCCTTGCACCACCTCTCCAATTCCGCTACATCCCCGCTGCTCTCCATGATAACGCATGCGCAGAGCTCCTCTCGTAACCGGATATCCGGCACGCCTACGACGATGACGTCTTTAACGGCTGGGTGTTGAGCGAAGACGGCCTCTACTTCAGCTGGGAAGACCTTGATAGTTGCCCGTTTAATCATATCGTCCTTGCGGCCCGAGACAGAGAGTTGACCGTCGATTGTCATGGTGCCGATGTCACCGGTATGGAACCAGCCCGCCTCGTCAAACGCTGCCTGGGAAGCCGCCTGGTTGTCCACGTTAAGGCAGTGGTATATTAAGGGATTACGGACGCATATTTCTCCCGCGGACTCAGGAGGTACATCGCGATTGGTGTCCGGCTCCACGATTTTCACTTCAACGCCGTATGTCACCTGCATTTTGTCACTGTTGGTGTCGTGCGTCACGTCCTGCAGGGCGATGGGTCCGGCATCGGTGGATCCATACCCGATCGTGATGTGTTTGATGTTTGGGAAAAGGGCCAGGAGCTTTTTAAGCTGATCTCTGTCCATCATCTGCCCGCCTGTTAAGATATAGCGCAGACTGGGTACCTGACAGAACGAAACGGCATCACTGTAGTTTAAAAGGTCCACGATGAAGTAGTGCATCATAGCGGTGTGGGTGACACTCTCTCTGTTTAAGATGGTTAAAACGAAGTCAACCTCTCCCTCCGCCACAACCATACTGGAGTTGACAGTGAGAGCGGTTGTCCCATAGAGGGCCATTCCCAGAATCAGTTGATGTCCACCTATCCAGGTCATCGGGCGGTCGTTAAAAAAGACGCTGTCGGCGCTTGCATAGGACGCCTCCTCCATTCGGGCCCAGTTGATGTAGGCATTGTGGGTTAACTGAATGCCTTTTGGCTTCCCAGTAGAACCAGACGTGAAGAAGACGCACATGGGGTCGTCTGGGTCGGCTTGACCCGCTGCTCCATCTATCGGGGTGCCATTTCCTTCTCCCTTGATTAGATTGTTCAGCGAAGCACCAGTCCCAAGAACATCGTCGCCGTAAGGTCCAAAAACGACGATGTCGCTCAGTGGGTTGGTTCCTTGAGGTACCCTGGAGGCGATTTCTCTGTATATTTCCCTCTCCTTATCATTTCCCACGTACAACATTAAAGCGCGGCATTTGTATTCCAACACGTCATCGCAAAGATTGTTCAAATTGCTCAACATGAACATGTTGCATCCTAGACGAGACAAAGCCAAAGTGAGCGGGAAAAACTCAATGCAGTTCGGTGAGCTAAATGCCACGCGGTCGCCACGTGAGTAACCACGGCGACGGAGTGACTCGGCCAATGAGATGGACTGTTTCTCAAGTTCAGAAAATGTCATACTCTCTCGCTGTTCTCGGGTCTGGTAAAAAATGGCGGCATTTTTGGTGGGATATAGCTGCGCTGTGATGTCGAACGCCTCGTGCAAGGTGACGTAAGCGTTTGACGTTACTTGAGGAATGTGGTAGTAGCTTCTCTTGTTAAGATGGGCCTGATTTATTTTCTCCATGCTTGCCATGTCGGGATTCGCTGAAAAAGAGTAAACTGCTCAACTAAAACAAAAAGCCTCAACGGTAAATATCAAAGCAGTAAAAAAAACTTTTATTCAAAAAATACTTTATAGAGATTTATTTTTCACTAGATGATCACAATCATGTCCATAGTTAATTCCTGTCACATTTCTTTTCTGTGTGTCGCTTTAGAGAAAGTGCACATAATTAAATTAATCTGCGGGCCTGGTGGAGGGTAAAGAAACTTTTATGTGGAGCGATTAATTGTCTTGTACAAAAGAGATGTAATCATTTTAGAGTCCTCTTCCGTCACTTTGGAGAGAGATAGGCAGATAGATCGATTTCTGATTCAGATTTTGGCTGTATGTTTAATCAGACAATTCTTGTACGTTCCAGTCTACAGCCTCATTAGCAGTTGAACGCTGGAGGTCAAAAGTATTATGTAATCAAGCAATATTAAACAAACATGGGGTTACTATACAGGTGTAGATGTAATAATGTAGGTCATGATCACAAAGAGTAGGTGCTTGTTGCTGTTGGGTAACACGGTGTGGCGGATTTAGAGTGGGGTCAGGGGGGTCCTGACCCCCTTTTCGGTTTCTGAAAAAAATCACACTAATATTCCCCTCTTGGAATTAGAATTTTGACAAGCTGATTTACCGGTATACTAAACCGTTCCAAACATATTTTATTCTGTGCTGCTTCCCAGTAATCATTCCATAAGTATTTGTATAGATTTGTATAATTGTTGTTAAGTTGTTATGACTAGTGTAGAGAGCCTGTAAAATGTAATGTGTATGCATTTTAGTGCTCAATAAAGATTATATAAATATGGCACTGTTCGCTCTCTAAAACACCCAAAATTTTAGGGGCCCTTTTGTGGCCCCCGAACCCCAAGCATACCGGAGATGGGGGTCGGCTCCGCATCCGCGGACCCCTCTCCCCCCCCCCCTTCAAATAACCCTGGATCTGCTCCTGGCCTCTTGCAATTTGTGATGCTGT